CATTTTTAAACAAGGAATTGGGAAATACTATATGGAAATAGTGAATGTAGCACAGTGAGACCAAACAATCAATGTCTTGTTCTAAAACTGTAAAACATTGTCTTTTTTTTGGGGTGGCCCTTCTTAATAAGGGCAGATGCATGCCCTCAGATTAAATCTCCATAACATGCATTTCTGTGTAGACAAGAATGAATGGGTACTTTATATTATTAAATGAGCTTTTTCACTAGTGCAGCATTGTATTGGAACCCTGCTAACTGCAGACAAAAATAAGTTATAAAGGCCTCATTTTTGCAAATAGTTCAGTGCTCTAAAGCTGAATATGAGAAGGAAATTGTTGTTTATCAAGACTTATTGTTTGGCTTCTTGAGAGAGGTCAGCTGTATTGGTTCCAGAGCATATGCTACATTCCCTGTGTAACTAAGAGCCTGAGTTTGTTATATATCCTGTTTTTTTTTTCAGTCACTGCAAGTCTTTGGGTTTCAGAATGAGTGAATTGCACATTCATGTGGTTTCAACAAACTTTCAAAACTCATAATTTTGCTGAAATGATGAAAGAACTTTAGTTAATCATTTTAAATCAGTGGTGCTTGACCTTTGGGCCCTGCAGGTCAGAAGAGTGGGCTGAATGAAGCCCCTTGTGCCAGGATCGGGACTCGCACCACCCCACACCTCAGGACTGGGTCCCAAGCTTCCCTGCATGCCTGATCCAGCATGTAGGGGCATGCTGTCCAGCTCATAGGACTCCTTATGGGTCTGGAAATTTAGCAGCAAGCACTTGTTCCCCTACTACCAAATTTTTGGATCTGCTGGAAGCCATGCAGGCCAGATGATGCAGTGCCAGGGATTGGATCTGGTCTGCGGCTGGGTGGTTGGGCACTCCCATTTTAAATCACTTCCCTGGCTTATGGGTCCGAGATCTATTGACTTGTGAGATTGAGGCTCCAAGACCGCTTTTGAATGAGTGACTCAGGAACTTTAAATGCTTTTGAAAAAATCAACAACCCTTCTAAATTTAGATGAAGCTTGCCTCCTAAGGCAGGGGTGGACAATTATTGGACCCAGAGGCCACAGTTTTGATGAACTGCAGGCTGGGTCAGTATTTCCCCCCCCCCGCTGCAACCACTAACAAAAACTCCCTGTGTGGGATGGGGCTGCAGGCAGGCAGGGAGTGGGTATGTTCAGGAGCAAGACGGGTGGGTGAGGCTGGGATCACAGAGTGGGGTCATGGGGTAGCCCCTGCCCTGTGAAGATGTGCGGGGGGAAGGCATATGGTCGAGGGGAAGGGAACTGCCTGGGTGCTAGGTCCTGGCAGCTGGCTGGGGTGAGGGGAGGGAGAAGGGGGCAAAGGGCTCATGCGGCAGACCTTACCCAGGTGGTGTGGTCCACAGCTGCCCCCATGGCACTCCGTAGGGGGCTGAGCCCTGCCTTGGGAAGTCTACACAATGCCTGGCCCTGGCCAGCATGCACAGCTTTCAGTGGATCTGCTCCTGGTGTGGCTGGTGTTTGGCTTGCCTTGCCTCCAGCAGCGCCGTCTCCTGCTCCTGCTGCGCCACTCTGGGCCAGGAAGAAACTTCAGCCAGGTGGCTCCTGCCCCAGTGTGTGGGGCTTTGGCTTTAGTTCCTGGCTGCCTTCCACCAACTTGGTGGCCTGGGCTGGAGTTAGGGTGGCCATCATAGAGGACAGTCTGGTTTTCTGCTACTCTGTCCTCTGTCCTCTATTGATACAAAACCTGACGCCTTTATGTCCTCTATTTTTCTCTTCAAGAGAAAGGCGTCAGGTTTTATATCAGTAGAGGACAGAGGACAACCAGACTGTCCTCTATGATGTCCACCCTAGCTGGAGTGCAGCATGGGCTGCCTTGGGTGGGTCTCAGCCTCATGTGGAGCCCTGTGGGTACAGCCACAGGCTGGATCTTATCAATTTGTGGGCACCCCCTCCATTGTCTGGATCCAATCAGTTGGTGGGCTGAATCTGGCCTGTGGGCCATACTTTGCCCATCCCTTCTCTAAGGCAGTGTTTCTCAATCTGTGGGTCATGACCCAAAAGTGAGTTGCAAGGATATATGAAAGGGTTGCAAACAAACTTTCAAAATGGATTCTCCTTTTAAAGGAGAAAAATGTGGGAAACCATGGCTTTCCCTTGCAGGCCGGCAGAGTTCCAGCCTGCAAGGGGCTGCTTGAGGGCCCCCCGCCCCACACTTTGTGAGGGGTACTGGGTCAGGACTGGCCACTGATGTTTACAAATGGGTCCTGGTACAAAAAGGTTGACAACAATTGCTCTGAAGAATAGTGAGGGCAAATTATCCAGCTTTGCATAGTTCGCCATTTGGACACAATTGATAACTCTATTTATATATTAAAATATATTCTGATATATGCATCTCTTTCTAGTTTGTTCATTCCTGTGTTTCATAGAATCATATTAAATTAGGGCTGGAAGGGACCTCAGGAGGTCATCTAGTCCAGCCCCCTGCTCAAAGCAGAAACATCTCCAACTAAATCATCCCAGGCAAAGTTTTGACTAGCCAGGTCTTGAAAACCTCCAAGGATGGAGAGTCCACCACCTCTCTGGGTAACCTGTTCCAGCGTTTTTCCTTGATTTCATAGACATTAGGGCTGGAAAGGACCTCGGAAGATCATCGAGTCCAGCCCCCCGCCCGAAGGGCAGGAAGTCAGCTGGGGTGATAGGATCCCAGCAAATTTTACTACCTTCCTAGTGAGAAAATGCTTCCTCATATCCCACTTAAACTTCTCTTGCTGTCATTTGAGATCATTGCTACTTGTTCTGTCATCTGCCATCACTGAGAATAGTCCAGCTCCATGCTCTTTTAAACTCCTCTTCATGTAATTGAAGGCTGATATTAAATCCCCTCAGTCATCTTTTCTCTACACTAAATAAGCCCGATTCCCTCAGCCTCTCCTCATAAGTCATGTTCCCCAGCTCCCTCACCATTTTTTGTTGCCCTCCGCTGGACTCTCTCCAATTTTTCTACATCTTTCCTGTAGTACTCCAGATGAGGCCTCACCAGTGCTGAATAGAGGGGAATAATCACTTCTCTTGATCTGCTGGCAACACACCTACCAGTGCAGCCCAGTATGCTGTTACCTTTTTGGCAACAAGGGCACACTGCTGGCTCGTATTCAGTTTATTGTCCGCTGTAACTCCCAGGGCCTTTTCTGCAGAGCTGCTGCCCAGCCAGTCAGCCCCCAGCCTGTACTGGTGCATGGGGTTGTTCTGTCCTAAGTGCAGGACTTTTTGTACTTGTCCTTGTTGAACCTCATGAGACTTCTTTTGGCCCAATTCTCCAATTTGTCTAGGTCACTCTGAATCCTAGCCCTACTGTCCAGAGTATCTACTATTCCCCCCAGCTTGGTGTCATCTGCAGACTTGTTTCCCCATTACTTATTAGGCTTGGCAGAATTTGATTTTTTTAAAATCTTTAAATAATGTTGATGGCTAAAATAAATGTGCATCTTGAAGCATTTATGTCAATTTTTATTGATTTAAATGATCAGGATTGCACAAATTTAGGGGTGTGGGGGGCAGATAATTTATTAATGACAGGATACTGTTAAAAGCTTTCTAAAAATCACGTCAAAATATAAAATGTAAATATTCATAAATCATTAAAGCATACATACTTTAAATTTATTCTGTTCATTCATCACCAGGGAAGAGCTGGGCTGGGCTGGGCAGGGACCAGAAGAGGAGTGGCATTCTCAGAGCTCTGGGAATGCAGGGAGAGGCGATGGTCATCCTTGGCCCCTTGGCCCCTTATGCTTAGCTGGCCAGGGGAGTATCCTGCTGTCACCAGGCTGGAGCCTCCACTATTCTCTCCCCAGTCATGCCCCCTGACTTTTGGGCAGGGGTTAGTTTAAGTAGCCTGCTTCCTCCCTCCAGCTGCCTTCCCCCACCTGTGAGTCAGCAGCTAATTGCTTAGTTGATAAGTCATTAGGCTTTAACACTAAATGCTCAACTGCGGAGTCATTAGATTGTCTATTGTTTTCCTCTTGAACCCCTTCCCACTCTGTCCTTCACTCTCTCTTTTCTCCACTGTCCAGTAGATTTCATAGACATTAGGGATGGAAGGGACCTCGGAAGATCATTGAGTCCAGCCCCCCTGCCCCAGGGGCAGGAAGTCAGCAGGGATCATAGGATCCCAGGGCAAGGGTTGCCTGTTACCGTCCCTTTTTTATAAATGTAGACTATTACCAATGGAAATATTTTGCTGTCGGTCTGTGACTGTGAGGTGAACTAGCTGTTTATCAGTGTTTACTGATAAAAATCAAATCCTGCTCATGACTGGAATGTACCATTTGGAGCAAATTTATTTCATAAACGTAAATTCAAAGCCTGAACAGTTTCCTCCTAAATCCCTTCTCAAACTAACCCCTGCCACAGCATCTACAAATCTCTTTTGTCTGCCTTTACATACCTGTTTAAAACCCCTGATTTATGACCAAGAACCTATGCCCCCACTCCTGCCTCTGTTATTTCTTTGTCTCCTATTCTTTTATTTATCTGTATGCCAGCTGCACGGTAAACCTAATGTTGTGAGCTCTGTGTAGCACAGACTGTCTTCCTCTCAGCTGCTTAGTATAATAGGAACCCCAGCCCCTGACTGGTCCATAGAGATTATTGCAAGAAAAAGAATCAGTCAGTTGTGACCATTTACAATCTGAAATATACAGCGTTTGATTTTTGATGGGGGCAGTCTGTTCACTGATGCTGTTTACATTCTTCTAGTTGAGGGAGAAAAAAGATCCCAGCCACATGTGCTCAGCATGAATAGGTGCTGGAATTCAGCATTTGCTTTCTGCAAACCTGATTGAAACCTTACACTTTTTCAACTATTAGTCCCACAAGCTCTCTGTTTCAATGGTCAAGGTACATTTAAAAGACCGAGAGCAAATATAGGTGAAGTACACTTTGTTTAGTTAACTGAGCAAATAGTTGCGATAGCTCTGGTGTTATGGTGAAGTCTCATTATATCTTACCTGTGCTTCAGTGGCTTGATCTTGCAACTGGTTCTCCAGCAGTCTTGTCTGATGATGTCTTTCTCCAGAACAAAACCTAAAAGGAGTGGCATCAAAAAATGCTTTATCTGGAGACTGTCACTTTCTTTCTTTTCTCTCCAGCATAATGCCACTTACAGCAGAAAAAGCTTTCACTCCTCACTGCCTTGCTCCCAGATGCACAAGACTTGTGAAACAGTTTAAAGAGGCCACCACATCCAGGATCCTTTAGTACTGACAGTTTTCAGCATGATACAAAAGACTTAACTGACTGACATGTCTGTGACTTTCTTGAGCCTCCGCTTGCGAGAGCTGAAAACAGTTCTTGTTTTAAATGAGGAAGTGTTGATGAGTAAAGCAAGATGTATGAGGCAATATCTTGCCTGTACAGTTAAGCAGATCTTGACTAACAGGAATGCAGGATACATTTGTACCTTATATATATCTGCTTTGGTTAGTCTATAGCACAAGCTGTTTTGAGGTGAAGTTCCCATCATCAGGTGCTGTGAAGGGACATGTAGAAAGCCGACTGTAAGAAGGAGAGAGAAATTAGAATACAAAAATCAAGTGAAGGAGGGCAGGGTATTCTGCTGGGAGAAATGAGCAGTAAACCCATAGGAACAAAGAGTCTCAAAAGGTATTCTGGATAAGAACCCATAGTCCTGTTTAAACGATACTTAACACAATCCAGCCTGTGGATGATTTCCTGTTCCACAATTTCCTGTTCAAATCAGTTTTAAAAAAGTTTGCTGCCTGAGAACAGCCATGCTCGGGTCAAGAAGGGTGTGTCCAAGGAGGTAAAAGTGTTCTGTCACACGCTTGCATGTCTTTCTACAGCTGAAGTCGGAACAGTATTCGATCAGTCATATGGAGATCATCTAGTCTGTCCTATGTGGATGGCAGAGGGGCACTGTAAGTAGGTGGTGGTGTATTTGACATTGGTGGAGTTGCAGGTGAATGAACCTTGGATGTTATAACCTATATTGTTCAGTTCAGTGATGAGGTGGTCAGTATTGATGTGGGGCACAGAAGGCATTTTGGTCTGTTGCATGTTCTGGTGCCTCTGGGAGTTAGGTAGCTTGTTGCTTGAGATGCACCATTTGAGGTGTGGCAGGGAGTGGCAGGGCTCTAAGCACTTGGCCCTTCCTTGGCTATATTATTGTTAGAGCCTGTGATTGAATGGATGTCTATATCGTGAGAGCCATACAAGGAACCAATGACTTCTGGACAGATCACTGTCTTTGTCAGATCCATTATGAACATCTGGCTTGCTTGGAAACACCAAAACTAGCCAAAAACAATATAAAGGACTCTTGACACCAAATGTCTTCAAGACCTGAAGGTCTGTAGGTGTCTCTATGAAAAGTTCTCTAGCCTGTCCACAAATAAAGGCAACATTGAGGAATTCTGGAAGGGGTTTAAAACTGCCATCCATACAGCCTGTGCTGAAGCCAAACACCAAGATTGGTTCAATGAGAGCAGTGTGGAGTTTCAAGCCCCCCTTGACCAGAAGAGACTAAACTCATTCTGCTTGGCAAGATTGATATCTCATCTCAGCAGAAAAAGGGGAGATATCAGTTTCTCAAAGACACAACTCAGGAATATCTGGGGAAATCAAAAATCAGTGCTGGCAAGATAAAGCCAAGGAGATCCAGCTGAAATGTGACATGCATAGTTTTGTTTTTGGGTTTTTTTGTTTTTTCAAGTGATGAAAGTTATCTACAGCCCAGCTTCCCATGGTCCTACTTTCCTGAGATTGAAGGATGGCTTGACATTTCTCAAAGAAAATGAATCTATCCAAGCTAGGTGGAAAGAGCGCTTGCCCAAACTGTGAGTTTGACTGTGGCAGATACTACTATCGAGTCCATCTCCCAACACCCTGAAAGGGGATTCTTTGACAACCCTCCTATACTAGAAGAAATCTGGCATGTCATTAAGGAAACCAAGAATGACAATGCTACTGGACCAGATGGCGCATCTGCTGAAATCTTGCAGCGATGAATTGGTACCAAGACTCCAAGTATTCATCTCTGAATTTAGAACAACAGAGGATGCCCTTAGGACCTGAGGAATGCCAACATCCTGACTATCTTCAAGAAAGGAGATAAGACTGTGTGTGGGAACTATAGAGGTATTACCTTCCTTTCCACAGCAGGGAAAATACTTCCCTGCATCCTTCTGAACAATTTTCTACTTGTTGCTGAGGAAGTCCTGTTGAAATATCACTGTGGTTTCAGACCATCCCATGGGGCAATTGGCATGATTTTTATTGCCCTCCAGGTCCAACAAAAGTGTCAGGAACATCATCAGGATCTGTGTATGTCCTTCATTGACCTTACTAAGCCTCGTGGAAAGTACTGGCCAGATTTTTGGATGCCCTGAAAAGTATGTCAAGGTCCTGAGCCTTCTCCATGACTGGAAGACTGTGACCATTCTATGGAGTGGATTGGAGAGGGAGCCATTTGTCATACAAACTGGGGTCAAGCAAGAATGCATCATTGTCCCAACTCTGTTTTTTTCCATTCCTCCCCCCCCACAGTCATCCTTATTTTCCTTAAGGACCACCTTCCTTTTAAAATTGACATTGAGAAGCCCTCCATCTGTTCAGTATTCAATTTAGGTAATTTTCCCAAAGTACTCAAAACAGCCATCCTTGACCTTCAGTATGCCGATGACTGTGCCATCCTTGCTGAATTCAAGATGACTTCAAATTTTAAAACCATCCCCACTAATTAGATTCTATAGATGGAAAACATATATTTTTTTCCATGTATAATATCTATTTATTTGAGGGTTGTCTTAAATCTGTTACCTGCCCTCCCCATCCTCCCTCCCCCCACACACTGCTGGCTCATACGGAGCCACATAGAGGGGAAATATCACCTCATTGGATCTATTTGTCATGCATCTCCTGATGCATGATAAAGTGCAGTTAGCTTTGCTGATGATTTTGTCACACTGACTACTCATGGTCATCTTGGAGTCCACTATGACTCCGAGATCCCTTTCTGCTTCTGTGCTGCTGAGGGTCACTTCCCAGCCAGTAGATGTGCTAGATATTTTTATGCCCTAGGTGCAGCAGTCTGCACTTGTTGTACTGCACCCTACTGTGTACTGCCCACTTTTTCTAACCTGTCCAGGTCTGCTTGCAATTGTTCTCTGCCCTCCAGAGTGTGCAGTTCGCCCCACAATTTAGTATCGTCCACAAACTTGGACAGAGTACACTTTACACCCACATCCAAGTCACTGCTAAAGATATTGAAGAGGACAAGTCCAAGGACCAAACACTGTGGGACCCCACACCCACATCCTTCCAGGTTGATACTGACCCGTCTACTACCACTCTCTGGATGTGACTGCTAAGCCAATTTGCCACCCACTGAACTATGTAAACATCTATGTCACAGCCTCTTCATTTATTTATGAGAATGGGATGAGATACCATATGAAGGCCTTGCTAAAATCCAAGAAAATGACATCCACCTCTACTCCTGTATCTAAGCATTTTGTGACCCCGTCATAAAATGAAATGAGATTGGTCAGGCATGATCTACCTCCTACAAATCCATGCTTGTTTCCCTGCTGAATTATTTTTTCCATTGGACAAATATGATCCTTCATAATCTTTTCAAAGATGTTTCTAAGGATGGCGGTGAGACTGACTGGCCTATAATTACTCGGATCCTCCTTCCTCTCCTTCTTGAAAATGGGGACCACATTGGCCCTTTTCCAGTCCTCCAGGACCTAACCTAAGCACCACAAGCACTCAAACAGCTATGCCAGTGGTTCTGCTATGACACCGGCCATTTCCTTCAGTCCTCTGGGATGCAGCTCATCCGGGCCTGTTGACTTGAACACATCCAGTCCATCCAAGTGACTCTGCACCAAATCAGCATCGACAGTTGGTGGGCTGGTGTTCCTCTGCCCATCTAAGAACCCATTCAGAGACTTACCTTGATGCCTGTTCAGGAACATCGAGGCAAAAAAACTCATTGAAATAGCTCAGCCTTGTGCCCCCTCTGTCTGTCGCTAATTGCTCCTTTTAGTTCAGTAGGGGTCCTATGCTGCCCTGTGCCTTCCTTTTACTCCCTACATACCTTAAAAAAAACGAAAAAAAACCCCAGACTTTTTTTGTTGACTATTGTGTTTCCAGCCTCAGCTCTGTAGTTGCTTTGGCTTTTCTAACTGCCTCCCTGCAAGTGCGGGCCAAATAAGTATACTCCTCCTTGGTAGCTTCCCCTGCTTCCACCGCCTGTATGCCTTCTTTTTTGCCCTTAGGCTCCCCTGGATTTCCCTGTTTAGCCAAGGAAGTTTTCCCCTTTTCCCTTGTACTGAGATAGTCTCCCTCTGTACCCGATGGATCGCTTCCTTTAGAAACTACCACCCTTCCTGGACTCCCATCTCACTAATACTCTTCTCCTGCAGTGCATCATTGACTAGACTCCTAAGCACACTGAAGTTAGCCTTCCTAAAGTCAAGCACTTCCACCCTACTAGCTATCTTACCCACTGTTGCAGAGCACTTAGGTGCCCTGTGCCTGAGAACAGGGATGGCTCCAGAGAGCCCCCTAGTGGTGCTCCCCCTAGAAGGGGGAGGCGCAGCCGCCAGTCACCAGGGCAGCACAGGTGCTGGTTGCCGGGGCAACCGGCAAAACCCCCTGACAGGAAGGGGCAGGGCTTAGCCCTTCTTAAAACCCAGGCAGGAGGCTAGGGTGGCGGTTCCTCCTCTGACAGCCAAGGAGTGAGGAGCTCAGCCAGTGCAGAGAGAAGGCCAAGGTTTGGCTGCACGAGTATCTGCAGGTTGCTGCTGAAGTATTTTTGCCTGGTAGGGATTAACTGTTGCCTGACGGGATGGTTTAGCTTTATGTTTTAGCCCGGGGGCTTTGTGTTTTGTGTTTTGTGTTTACTGTTTAACCGGAGGATCAGGGGCAGCTATAACGGGTGGAGGCCTCATAGGGACTCCCCAGTAGCGTGGTGGGTTCCTGGTGCTGAAGAAGGTGCAGTATGTGGCGGGGTGCATTGGCCTAGCCCTGAGAGTGGCAGAGGGGCAGCGAGGAGCCCCGAGAGTGCAGAGGGGTGGCAAGGAGCCCCGAGAGTGCAGAGGGACCCCGAGAGTGCAGAGGGGCGGCGAGGAGCCCCGAGAGTGCAGAGGGACTCTGAGAGTGGCAGAGGGGCGGTGAGGAGCCCCAAGAGTGCAGAGGGGCGGTGAGGAGCCCCGAGAGTGCAGAGGGACCCCGAGAGTGGCAGAGGGGTGGCGAGGAGCCCCGAGAGTGCAGAGGGGCAGCGAGGAGCCGCAGATAGCGCCCCCTGTCATCGGGGCGCATAGAAATGGGCAGCCTCCCGCTAATTACAACAATTTATTAATTAAATAAGATCAAGGTGTGGCAGGCGAGTAAGCAGGCGGTTAGCTCATTACAGGAGGGCGGAGCCATACTCAGAGAGGCTCCAATAGTGGCACTCTTGTCACACCCACCCTATGCTGTATGGTGAATTCAGTTGATTGGTGGTCGCTGTCCCCAAGGTGACCATGAATCTTCAGCTCCCCTACTAGGTCCTCTCCCGTAGCTAACACCAAGT